AGCTCTCGGCCAACGCGAAAACTGATTTCACTTTGGCAGCTCTCGGCCAACGCGTAAACTGATTTCACTTTGGCAGCTCTCGGCCAACGCGAAAACTGATTTCACTTTGGCAGCTCTCGGCCAACGCGAAAACTGATTTCACTTTGGCAGCTCTCGGCCAACGCGTAAACTCATTTCACTTTACTTTTGATTTTGATTTTGATTTTGATTTCGTTTTGATTTTGATTTTGATTTTGATTTCGTTTTGATTTTGATTTTGATTTCGTTTTGATTTTGAATTTGATTTTGATTTTGATTTTGATTTCGTTTTGAATTTGATTTTGATTTCGTTTTTTTTTATTTGCTTTTATTTATTTCAGAGGTAAAATTGTAGTGGCAACCCTCGGCCACCATACATTAGTTATCTGGGGCTAGCATTCATCAATTACCTGGTACTCACATTTATATGCTACCTATTGCTAGTGTTCATCAGTTATCTGATATTGGCATTCATCTGTTACCTGGCACTACAACTCATCAGCTGTTACCTGGCATTGGCATTCGTCTGTTACCTCGCGTTAGTGTTCATAATCAGTTACCTGATATTGGCATACACCATTCACCTGGTAGCAGTATTTATCACTTGACTTGTGACAGCATTTATAAGTAACCTAGTCTTTCCCGAAGCATTTATCGTGTATTGTGCTCAGTGCACTCATCTTCGTGTTTGCCTAGCGGAGGAAGGAACGAGCATGCTGCATCATTAGCAGTTAACAGATTCCGTCGTGATTGATGCTGCTAATTTATAATTTTTGCATGATTGTGGATTTCACAAGGGTTACGGCTGGTCGGCCGGAACAAATTGAGTATATTGAAACGCTAATACATGTTTTTAATAGCTGTTGTAAAGCGCCAGGCGTGTAATTTATCATGTGTGAAGCAGTGCGAATCTGTACTTGAGAATTTGTTTAATGTAGCAGAGTAATTAGTGAACGTAGGTTGGTAGTTATCATGCGTATTATAAGGAGTCTGGGCATGACTATCACGCGGAAGGCTTTTTATACGTTGCTAAACAACGGTCTGTGAGTTGGAGGTTAATATGTGAGACGAATGTGCGGCGCGTGTCCACTCTTTCCGACTGTATGTGTTTCATGTGACAGTTGAACGTTTCCCAGCAATAAAAATGCATGCTCTGAACGAATTCATTCCTTCCAGAACTAAAAATAACTAATCGTGGTTCCCTACCTACTTTCGTACAAGTGCGGTTGAGTAACTGAAAATGTGGCAGAGGTTTTGAAAATAACACTAAAGTAGGGCGACTGCGATGATATGATGGCCTCTGCGGTCTATCGAAACACGGCTGCATGGCATGCCGTCAGCGTTGAAACGCCAATGGAATTCCCTTCGCCCGTTTGACGATAGCGAGTTTAGTATTAATAAATTTAAGTGAACATGCTCACATGACGTCTGCGCGCGAGAGTTTCGCCCTCTCTCGCCCCGCAGTCCTTCATCCGTTTGTGTTGCGATAGCGCACGCGGCTTCTTTACAGCCACCTAATGGAAGCGGAGTTTGTTTGCAAAGTCAATACATGCGTGCGGGTTCGTCGAGCCGTCACTCAGTTTTTCGCTCGGCATATCTCCGCCTCCTCCCTCTCGTATTCTCGCCTGCGTCCTGCTCACAGAGACGTGAGAGTGCATGCTGGCTGTAGCAAGCTTGCTGTCGCAGCATCTTCTGTCGGGAAAGTAGAAGCCATACGGTTAGTTCTGCTGTGAATCATCTCAATAGGTTAGTGAGTGCTCTTGGCGTCTCCCAGTGTAACCTCTCATCCTCGTCCTACTCTTATCTGTGCAGTTTAACTATAAGCCTAGCTAGCTGTGCGGCCTGTCGGGGGAACTCGTGCGTGGACATATAATTATGTACACATAGATTGTTAGAGACCGACTTAAAATTATCTCGAGTTTTAATGGAAATGACAGACTTATAAGGAATGTAGAATAAATAGACACGATGTGTATACGCCGGCATAGGAACGGAAAATGGTTTTCCGCACTTTGCCAACGTATTATATCGAGGGCCTATAAATCCAAAATAGACTTCAAAGGGTCTGCTACTGTATATAGAGAGCCAGGATTATTATTACATTATTATTATATTATACTACAGATTACTACTACCTCAATCCTCTCTCTACCATTCTCTGTTTCTGTTCTGTCCCTCCCCCTTCTCTTTCGCTCACTCCCCCTCTCCTTTACCTCCTATCTCTCTCTCTCTCTCTCTCTCTCTCTCTCTCTCTCTCTCTCTCTCTCTCTCTCTCTCTCCTGGGCAGAGTATCCGAGTCTGTGCAGAGACTTGCGTCTCTTAATTTATTACCACACTTTTGTGGATTCGGTGTATTACGCTAGTTAAGTGGATAGTCAACGTATCAAAGCTGGTAGGGTGGGAATCAGTGGGAGTTGGCAGTCACTCTGCCCTAGAAGCATATCTGGTATGTTATGACGTCAGTAGCGATTCCACAGTCTGGTCGACGGAACTTGGAAAAAAACTTCGGTAGTAGGCCTTCACGCGCGAGTACGGCTATAGCAAATGACGCACGGAAACCTCTCAGTACCTTGGTGGCTGCGAGCGCTGCTGTAAGATGCTGTGTATAAGCAACGCTGGCAATGTCGTCGATTCTTTTGTGTGGCAGCTAGCACTCGGTTGTTGGATCTTCTTCCTCCAGCGTCAGCGTCAGTCCAAAAGGGTTCTAGCATAATTGTGGCCGGCGCTGTCCACGGTCAGCGTTTTTGATGAAAGGTGCAGTTTGTCGTGGTGCACCATCGCTGCTTGACTGCAGGAAGACAACTACATGCTAGTGATGCGAAAGAGTATACGTACTCATACATACACACTCTATCACTCGCGGTCTCTTTCTCTTTTTCTCTCTTTCTCTATCACTAGCTGTCTCCTACTCGGTCTCTCTCTCTCTCTCTCTCTCTCTCTCTCTCTCTCTCTCTCTCTCTCTCTCTCTCTCTCTCTCCCTCTCCCTCTCGGTTTCTTGCCCCCTCTCTCTCTCGCTTTTCTCCTCGGTCTATCCTGCTCTCGCTCCATCTTTTTACCCATCTCTCTTCCTCCATCCGTCCCTCGCTTCCTCCCTCCACCTCTCCCCTCCTCTCTTCCATGGGCTCTCTCTCTCTCTCTCTCTCTCTCTCTCTCTCTCTCTCTCTCCCTCTCCCTCTCGTTTCTTGCCCCCTCTTCTCTCTCGCTTTCTCCTCGGTCTATCCTGCTCTCGCTCCATCTTTTACCCCATCTCTCTTCCTCCATCCGTCCCTCGCTTCCTCCCTCCACCTCTCCTCTCCTCTCTTCCATGTGCTCTCTCTCCCCCTCTCTCTCTCTCTCTCTCTCTCTCTCTTCTCTATATATATATATATATATATATATATATATATATATATATCTCGCACTCTCTCTCTCTCTCTCGCACTCTCTCTCTCTCTCATCTCTTTCTCTTTCCGTCTCTCTCTCTCTCTCTATCTCTTTTTCTTGCTCGCTGTGTCTTTCCCCAATAAATGCATCGATCGTCATCTCAACTGCAACATCACTGTTGTTAGCACGCGAAAATTTGTGAAAACATAATAAGCGACAGCAACACGCAACATGAGGTCCTGGGGGTAGAGCGACGGCACAAGGAAAATAACTTGTTTTGGGTTGCTTTGGGGGAAGCTAGATAGCATATACCTGGTGCTGGTAGGTTTTAACTCCTACTGCCATTCTTAGGCTGTCATTTTGCTCACTTGACTTGTGACATAATGTGCTCGTGCAGTAATTTTATTTGTCACCTGAGATTTCCATAAAGAATGTTCGTGGAGAGATGATCTGCCCTTCTATGTCTATGGAGAGATTATACGCCCTTCTTTATACGCTCTTGATATTATTCGTATAGTTGTGTGATAGATTAATTTAGTTAATGTATTAGATAAATTTTCGTCACCCTCATTGTTTTGTACTGGTTCTTGCATTTTTCAAAACGTTCAATATTCTAACTGTTATAACTAATAAGCGACGTAAAAACGCGTTGTAGCAGGATTTTTTAAGAACAAATTGAATTTTGGGAGGCTCAGACACCTATGCCAAAATCCCTTGCCGAAACCGTGAATATTCGCATGTAAAGGGTCAGGTGAAGAGGTGTGTACACTCTGCAACTCTGATTATGGCATACAGCTGAGTGACGCTGATAGGGTCTATGTCTCCCTGGGTACTGCCGGAACGTACCCTGGTAACTATCTGATATGATTAGGGTTAGGGAGCCTGAGTGACAGGGAATGCGCAGCTTTTGAATCGACGCAATATTTTTCTGGTCAAAATCAAGTTGCCTGCATTAAGTGAGATAGGGACTGCTGCGTGCTCACTTTATTTGAAAAATGGAGATACATGATAATAGCAAGAGTACATAATAGAGATACATAATCTCTATTATGTACTCTTGATAATAGTGTTAGCATTCGTGATAATGGAACACAGTAGAAACTACGTCATGATCGAGATTGAACATGGTGATCAGATGCCAAAGACTGGGTGGCAATGATTATGCGTGCGTGTGTGTGTTTGTGTTGATGGGGGGTTCTCCGTGTATTGTAGACTTTATCTAATAAGCTTAACAAAAACCGTCACCTGCACACTGCCAAGAGACGTTGTGACTGCCAAGTTGTGTAGCATAGTCATAGTAATACTGATGCTCGTTGCCTTAGCAACCGTCACCAGATGAGCACTGTACTCCCTCGACTCTTTATCGTTTTTAGTAGCGGAAATTTTCCCTAATTTTGAATGCCCAATTGTTCCAGGTGGACCAGGCCTCTTTAGGACTTGACAGGAAATATTACATGAACAAGACGGACAGTGATCATTTGGTTAGTGTTCCTGTTATCGTCACTTGGTTGCATGCATAATAGCAACCATAATTTAAAATTATACTGCTATTGGCAGATTACCATAGTGCAGCGGACTTCGATGCAAACAAGAGCATATAAAGAAGGCTCTTGATGTAATAAGTGTCCATGTCGTTAGCTTTCATTGTCCTAGTCCGGTTTCTTTGTATCTCGCATCGAATCTACTAGAAATTTGTCGGAGTTTTTAATAGGCGTATGAATTTTATATAAAGTCTACAGCAGGCTTGTGTCATGGCCGAATGAATGGATCCATGATAGAGACTGGATTAATGCTCTTGCAGCTTTTGCTTGACAAGTAGAATGCTCATATGGGTCACGGGTGCCTTCATCTCGTTTTATTTCGTGTGTACAGGTGATGGATGCGTACCTCGACTTCATGGTAGGACTAGGGGTATTGCTAGGAGGAGAGGAGAATAGCACGCGTGCTCAGATGGAAGCCGTACTCGCGTTGGAAACCGAGATTGCTAACGTAAGGTTCTAGTTGTCTCACATGAGCCAATAGGATGTTGACATGTACCATCCTACTCTTCACCATATATACTTCGTATCCTAAACGATAGGATTAGTGTTCCGATAGGCACTGCGCGTATAGGCATGATAAATTATTCACAGAATTCATAGAGATATTTACACATCAAGTAAAAGATAGTGTGTATTGGTACATGTCAGAGGCATCAAGAGTGTATGTGATATGGTATGTGCGTGCATGCGTGCGTGCGTGCGTGCGTGCGTGCGTGTGTGTGTGTGTGTGTTTAGGTGTGCATGCATGCGTTCATGTCTGCGTGTGTGCAAAAACTTGAGCAAATGGGAAAATGTCATTAATTTTATAATGCGTATAAAACCTGTCATGCGAATATGCAATTATTTGCTCTGTAGCATAGGCTATGGCACAGTAGCCTATGAAGTCTAAATGTAATCACGGCTAGATAATAAAATCTGCTCTTGGAAGTGTGCAATTCACAGCCCTAGGTATCTTCACATTTATTAGGTAATTGCTTACTCATGCAGCAGAGGCTGGCTGATGATACATGGCAGTAATGACCCACGTGTTATATTATAAGGCAGACCATGCTATAGGTCTGCACATGTAACGCCACTCGCGAGACTAATAATAATTTTAAATAATAAAGTGCCCTACTCGGCTACTGGCCTAGTGGGCTAATGAAGCGATTCACAGTTTTCACTGGCGCCGTGCCGGCCACCCGGGCCTCATACAAAGCTCTCTTCTTGGCACCGTTTCCACACTCTATCTCTTTTTGCTTAGTACTAAGCAGAGAAGCAGTGTGTACCATTTTTCAAGTCTTTGGTATGACCCGGCTGGGATTCGAACCCACGACTTTCCACATGCGAGGCGAGCAATTGAGCCATCGCAGTGGTAGTTACGCGAGACTAATGAAAATGGAAAGCAGCTATAGCGAGACGTGCCACTTCTTATTTCGATTCTTGTCAAGGGATCCGACATCAATGTCATGCGATATAACGTGAAATGTTGCTCCTCGGAAAAAAACCCAGAATTATAAATGCGAGAATCGTACCTGAATGCAGGTTTTTGCAATATTAGGAAGACACGTTGTGAACAGATCGGACTACCTGCTGTAGTAACATGAAACCGGAAGTAGATTAGTACTATCGACTTCTGATGAAATGAAGTTGACTTGCATAGTTTGCTGACTGAGTGCATCAACGTTACAGATCACGACACCGGCCGACCAGCGCCGCGATGAGGAGAAGATGTACCACAAGATGAACATTAGTGAGCTGACCAATCTCGCACCGTTTGTAAGTTCGCCGTCTGCGCCACCGCGTGTAGCATGCTGCGCGCCGCCGCACTGCTGTCCCACTGTGCTCACAGTGACAAGCTGAAAACAACTGATGGAAATGCTAGAAAATGATTCCTACGCAACATTATTGCGACAATGTTGTTATGATAATGTCCCTAACTGTCGGTTGCTCTCACTGAATCCTTGTGTCATACTTGCATTGTGTGTATACGTGCGTGCATATGGTCTTGCCTCTCACTATCCTGGCTTTCCTCTCGTCCCTTCTTGTCTCTCTCCCATCGTCCCTCCCCTTCCTTATTGCCTCCCTCCCTTCCTTATTGCCTCCTTCCCTTCTTTTTTTTTTCTTCCTTAACTCTCTGCCTCTCTCTCTCTCTCCCGTTTCCAGACTGCACTCAACTTGCATTTGCAGACGGCTCAGATTTCATATATCATGCTTTAGTAATTCCACAACATGATTAGTTTGAAATTACAACCCTTGATATAATGGAAAGTAATCAATGTGAGTGGGGGGAAGTGATAGTGGGACGAGGTAGAGAAGGGAACAAGGAAGAAAGAGCAAAATTAAGAGGGGGTCTCGGTTGGAGAGAAGGGTGGCGTAGAGAAAATAAAGATAGGTATTTTCTCGCCTCTGCTCTTCTGTCCCTCCTATACCTACCCTCCTATGCAACCTATCCTATCCCATCCTATCCTATTCTATCCTATCCTATCCTATGTATCCTTGTGTTGGATTTCCATTGGAGGGGGGTGTTGCGCTCCTATACCTACCCTCCCATGCAACTGCTCTGATTTCCTCATTCCCATCTTCCTCTTTCTCCTCCATTCCCTCCTCCTTCGTCGCATCCCCCTCTGACTGTTTTAAGGAATTCAAGTGAGCCTGTTCGGCTTGGTGTCAACAGTGTAAGTGGATATTGCCCTAGCTGAGTAATGGAACTGAAGTGGACTTTGTGTCTAGCCGGCTGTCTTTCCTAATTCTTCTCTCTCTCTCGAGAGAGAGAGAGAGAGAGAGAGAGAGAGAGAGAGAGAGAGAGAGAGAGAGAGAGAGAGAGAGAGAGAGAGAGAGAGAGAGAGAGAGAGAGAGAGAGAGAGAGAGAGAGAGAGAGAGAGAGAGAGAGAGAGAGAGAGAGAGAGAGAGAGAGAGAGAGAGAGAGAGAGAGAGAGAGAGAGAGAGAGAGAGAGAGAGAGAGAGAGAGCTGCTGCTGCTGCTGTTGTTGTTGCTGCTGCTGCTGCTACTGCTGCTGCTGCTGCTACTGCTACTGCTACTGCTGCTGCTGCTGCTCTTGCTGTTGCTGCTCTTGCTGCTGTTACTGTTGTTGTTGTTGCTGCTGTTGCTGTTGTTGCTGCTGTTGCTGTTGCTGTTGCTATCTCTGTTCGCTCACATCGCGGCCGTATCCACTAATGAAGGATGGCTCGACACGCGCTGTTGATATACGCGAGAAACTACAATAGCTTTCTTAGCAGCAGGTGCTGCTGCCTACCAAGTACCAGGTAGTCAGCCACAGCACGATCGGGAGGGTGGCACCATCTATCGGCGTAATTTGACGATGTTGTGATCCATCTACGAGTTCGCCACATGGTGACGTCATTATCACAGGTGATTAGTTGATAGTCGATCTCTGACGCAGGTAGGTTATACCTGTGGACGGTAAATACGTACTCCTACCCTCTGTGAGTTATGTAATAGCTTTGCCATCTCTGTTTGAAATGTCATTATCGGATTTATTCGTTCAAATGAATAGTTATTTGTTGTTTTTGTGACTAAGGCTTGTTTTAGAAACCGATGTTTAATCTTTTTTAAACTTGTTCTCATAATAATTCTGCGCCATGCCCCTCAAGACAATACCGAGCGAATTTATTATATATGAAACTTCATGATAACTACAGGAAGCGCTTCATACTCCATCGTATGTGGTAGCACGATAAAATATACACTAGAAAATCTCATTAATTCCTCGCCTGTGGTAAACACTAGGTGGCGCCACATTCATAAGAGTTTCGCGACTCTTGGCGGCAGTGCTGAGAATAGACAGCGGTGAGCGCTGCCGCTGCCATATACCTACATAGCTATACAGTCTACTGCTCACCCTGATTCTGTCGACCTCAGCCTCTCTCCCAGGTGTCTTTGTCCAACCATTATGTCTTATGCTTCTCCGGCTGCCTCCCGCGTGGTTTCTCACTCACGATGATGAGGGTACGGTTTAAAACATCGCAGAATACAGGGCTCTCTCTCTCTCTCTCTCATACGCGCAACATTTATAGCTGTATAGCTATGTAGGTATAT